AGATGCTGGCGAAACGTTAGGAAACAAAACTTCCAGAACACGGCCACGCAGCCCGGAAGACTCACACCAGCCTCAGTAAAAATACTTTTAACTTTCCTGTGGAGTTGATTTCCAGATCTGGTATACCTAGTGGGTCTGACAGATGGATCATCCCTGTACACCAAATTATTTCTTTCATGGTGCAAAATAGAGGAGGATCACCTGGTGCCCAACTTCCCATCTCTGTTGGAAGTAGAAAGTAGTCACCTGGATGATCCTCCTCTATTCTGCTACTGTTATGTACGTTTTGTTATGTACTTAAAAGGGTTAAAGCTGGAATTACTAAAGCTGGAAAAAGCTAAATAACTAAAGCTGGAATAAATAAATAAATAAATGAAAGGGACTACCTGTGCTAATTACTACAGTATTGTTTCCAGTGGCTCTAGAAAGTCCTCTTTTTTTTTTTTTCGGATATAGACACAAGTAATGTAGAATATTATAGGAAGTCCCTTGCTCTTTTTAGCTTTTGTTTGTTGTTCATGTGTCTCTCTTTTTGCCTGCTTTTGTCCAGTTTTGCCGGTTTTTGATATTTGCTAATGTTTAATAAACATCAGGCTAGCTAAATTGAGTGGCATGTGCGCTTGCTCGGATCTGGATACAGGAATTGACAGGGAGTGTGCTGGTGCAAACTAAACTGAAAATAGCCCATAGTAATTTTCCAACAGTGGCAAAAAACCCACAAATCCTCACTGCAACTCCCCCAAGGGAGAATTCCCAGGATTCCTTGGTAGAGGCTACAGTTGTGAGTCTAATATAAAGCCAGTGTTAACATTATGGTGTAAATGCATTTATTTATTTAACTGTTTTGATCACCTAACACCCAATCTGTTAAGATTCTAGGGCAGTGTTTCTCAACCGTAGCAACTTCAAGAGGTGTGGACTTCAACTCCCCGAATTCCCCAGCCAGCAAGCTGGCTGGGGAATTCTGGGAGTTGAAGTCCACACCTCTTGAAGTTGCCAAGGTTGAGAAACACTGTGGTAGGCAGTATACTAATAGAATCATGGAGTTGGAAGGGACCATGGACGTAATCACTGTCTAATTCTAATCTCTTTTGACTTGATCTCAGGAACGAAGTGGTTCTACAATCAACCCCATCTTGACTGCTATACCAACCAAGCTGGCTCCTCCTACCTTTAACCGAACCAATAAGTTCACCGCTGGGTTCCAGGCCATTGTAGATGCTTATGGTGTTGGGAATTATAGGGAGATTAACCCAGGTAGATAGACTTTGATTTATCCCCCCCCCCTTTTTTTTTCTAAGAGAGCCGATTTTAAATGACATGTAAGGTCTTTATGCTTTCTTTTATGCCAATGTATCCACCAGGTAAGGATCATTTGGTGCCTTGTCTTTCAGGCAAAAGACTAGCGGCCCACTCAATGGAATGAATGGTGTGTGTGCGTGTGCGTGTATGTGGTGCAGAGCAAGACAAATCACCACATTTTGAAATATGTGGAATACATATTGCCACCTGAAATAGTGCTTCTCATCCAATATACATCCAATATAGAGAGAAAACCAGTTTGGTCTAGTTCTCTCTATATATTGGATGTATATTTCAGGAATTCCTGATTTAAAAGAAGGGACTTCCAAAAACCTATTAAACAGACACCAGGCTAGAAAGCAGGAGACTGTGAGTTGTAGTCCCACCTTGGGCATGAAAGCTGGCGGGGTGACTTTGGGCCAGTCACTCTCTCTCAGCCCAACTCACTTCACAGGGTTGTTGTTGTTGGGAAAATAGGAGAAAGAAGGAGAATTAGGTATGCTTGCTGCCTTGAGTTATTTATAAAAATAATAAAGGTGGGATAAAAAAATCATATATATGTATGTATGTCTCACAGGTAGAACTCAAAGCTAACCTAGGTGAAACAGGGTAAGGCATTGAAATTTTACATCTTGAAAGCTTACTATACATAACCAAAATAATAAAAGACTGCCTGGAAGCGTATAAAGGATCTTCTTGGCTTTCTTGTTTCTATAATGGTCAGAGTCAGAATTTTTTTGATGGAGAGATTTTTGGGGACTAAAAATGTAAATGATTGAGAATTCCTGATTTAAAAGAAGGGACTTCCAAAAACCTATTAAGTCCAGATCCTAAAATTATATAATGACTTACCTGAAAAAAAAATTAATAATGTGGATTATATATATATATATATGGATAAATAAAATGCCGTTCTTGTAAGGACTAAGGAAATGAATGAAGAATGTAATTAGCTGAGCAAACATTCAATTCCAGATATTCAGTACAATTGCCCATGTCCTATTTTACAGAAGATAATTCTAATTGTCAATTATAATTCACTTTTGATAGATGCCTATCTCTCTACTTAGGATACTTCAACCAAAAGGAAAATGTGGTTTTAAATTAACAGCATTTCATTATTATATGGACAACTATCATAATATGCTGGGTAACAGTGCCACCTGTTGATTCCAACTGAGAAAGCATATTTTAAAATTCTCATTGAACCAGTGTATTCTCTGTTCCACTTTTGGTTAAAAGGTGGGGTAGCCCTTGCTTAAGTTAGCAAGCTGATTTGCTGGTTCCCAATTGTAGTCAGATCCATGGGTGCATCTGAACCTTCTGGTATCAATAGATAAGGAAGTTGTTGGAAAAGGGCTAGATTCCCCCTCACTACTCCATAATATATTCATTTTTTTTTCTCTCTGGCCAGATTGTCCACTGCTTCTCAAAAGCTGGGAAATAGACTTTCAGTGTCAGGCAAAAGGGTCCTTAGATCCATGCACTGAGTTTGGAGGTGCTGAAAATTTCTCAACATGCATAATAAAAAGATGCTTGGGAGCTGATTCAGAATCCCATTGCTAATTGGGAGCCTGGAAATAGACTTGTGCCTACCACTAAATCAGTTCAACAGAGAAATGTGATATTGTATTCCTGGCTCTTTGGGAGTGATCCCTAACAGCAAGACTAGGTGGTCAGTGCCTCCAACTGTATTGGACTTCAATTCCCCTAATTTCCAACCATGGAGCCCATTTTTTCCCTCACTGAAACTCAAGTGATTTGCAATGTATACATGTTTAACAAGTGACGTGATAGTCTTTCTCCTTCCCACAGCCCCCTTCACTATCATCACCTTCCCTTTTCTGTTTGCGGTGATGTTCGGCGATTGTGGTCATGGTACAGTCATGCTGGGCTTTGCGCTGTGGATGATCAGCAATGAAAAGTCCCTTTTAGCCCAGAAAAGTGACAACGAGGCAAGTGATCATGGGTGGAATCTCGATGCCTATAGCAAGCAGCCTTCAAAGTATTTATTTATCTATTATATTCTACTCTGCCCAACATCTGAAATTCTTGGGGTAGATTACAAAGTTATTTAAAACATTAAGGTTCTAAAAATGTATTTTAAAAAAAATGCAGAAAAACAAGCAAGCAGTGAAAGGCAGCCAATTGATCAGTTAATAGCACAGGAAAGTTATTAACATATAGAAAGATATAAAATGGAGAACAATCCTCTAGAATGCTGAGAAGAGAAATACCTTTGCCCAGAGCTGAAAAGATATAAATGGGCCAGTCGTATGGAGAGGGCATTTCATAAGCAGAGTCCCGCAGCTGAGAAGGCTGTCCTCCTTGTTGTCATCAATCTCACTTCTCTTGGTGAGAAGAAGGGCCTCTGAAGATGACTGAAGGGACACTCATTTCTTTCCAAGGCAGTAAACAACAGGGGAAGAACTATGCATGCAGATCAGCCGCTCCAACCTGGTGCCCTCCTAGCCAGCACAATCATATTTGGGAGATGCAGTCCCACATTTCTAGAAGATACCAAATGGAGAAGCCTGCTGCAAATAATTGGATATTTTGTTTGTTTACTGTTCTTGATCATCCCTTGATGACTCGGTAATATTCCTGTGCAGATCTGGAACATCTTTTTCAGTGGCCGCTACTTGATCCTACTCATGAGTATCTTCTCCATTTACACTGGCTTTATTTACAACGATTGCTTCTCCAAATCTCTCAACATATTTGGATCTTCCTGGCGTGTCCGTCCCATGTACAACAATGGTGTATGGACGTAAGTGGTAAACAATGCCTTATAATTATAGAAAGCAGCAGCTATATGCCCAGTTTGCTCAGTTGTTCCACAATCTCTTCTGGAATTGATCCCTAGTAATCCATATCACAACCTTTCACATTTCTCTGCCTTTAATCAGCAGCTGACTATGATGCAAGGCAAATAGGAGACAGTAGTTACTAGAAACTTCCCTTAGTTTGATTCAGAAAAGGCATAAAATATTTTATTCTGAGCCCATTCTAAACTTTTGATTCCATCAAGCCCACAATAGAAACCAAATGGTTCTCTGAAATTATTCATAGCCCCTAACCCTGAAATATCTCTCTATGGTGGGAAATACAGGTCCCCAGGGGACCTGAACATGTTTATATTCAGGCACCTGAAAATTACTTATATGCTTAATATAATTTCCAGGGCATCTGGTGTTCATATTCAGATACCTTGGAGAACTGTTTTACAGGATCTCTGGAATGTTCACCTTTAACCATCAAGGTGACAGAAAGATATACATTGAGGCCTACTCTGTAAGAACCTCCGCAGTGAACTACATAGAGATACGTACTAATCTTAGCTTGTAATAAGTTATAGGGAAAGATTCTTAGAGTCATCATTTATGAGTGCCCCCTCCAGTTTCCAAACTTCATCAACATCAGTTAGGGAAGAGCATCATCACAGAAGAATGTAGGATAGTTTATACAGTAGATAATATTGAAGGTGTGAAGTGTGAGACTGTGGGCCTGTTGGAGAAAGAGCAATCTGGGACGATGACAAAGGAAAACAAAGAATGTACAAAATTATATAAGCCGTTTAGTACAAAAAGTCACATGATCTGAGCTGTCTCCATAGAAGATGCACAGCTAATGTTTCAGACTTCATTGTGTTTATATTGTGTTTTTTCTTAAGCCATTTCATTGTGAGAAATGGCTGTCACATCTCAGAGGCAACCTAATCATTTAACATTTCTTTGTTCATCCATAGGGACAAAATTGTTCATGATAATGGTCTGCTGCAGTTAAATCCAAAAGAAGCAGGTGTATATTCTGGAAACCCCTATCCTTTTGGAATTGATCCGGTAACCAGAAATAATTATTTGTCAGTTAAGAGGAGGAGAGGGATAAGGGATGAATGGGTGGGATTCCAATTTCCCAGGAAGAAGTCAGCAAAGACATAGTTCCTCAAAAACTTGTTAAGAGCCAAGACTATTGTTGATAACTTTGTCTTCACTGTCTTTTCACTGCAGACATGCAAAAATTTAAATTGCTATGGAAAAAGTAGGGAAAAACTTTGCTTGTTGAAACTTTTTGACCAGTTGAAAAATGGAACAGAAAATTTCTAACACTGAACATTTTTTTACCTTGTGTCATGTGGCTTTCTTCCAAAACCTCAACATCAGTGTCTTATTGATGGTATTTGAAAGAGATGAGAAAAAATCCAAAGTAAAGTACAAAGTAAGGAGGCTCACAGTGCTGGAAATTTTCTCTCCAAGACTAGTATTTCTGATGTTGGTATTATGGGAAAAGAGAAGACAGACTCCATAGAACAGTGTTTCTTAAAGTGTGGTCCTCGGACACCTGGGGGTCCCCCAAAACCCTCTCAGGAGTCTGTGAAATCAAAATTATTTGCCAGCCTATGTTGAAAAATAATGCAATATTAAAATCCCATCAAACAATCATGAGAAGTGGTAATAACAGTTGAATGCATCAATTTTAATTTTTAAGGTGGTAAATATTGATAAATATAACAAAAGCTCTTCTGGGGTCCTCCATAATTTTTAAAAGTGGTCCTGAGAGAAAAAACTTTAAGAAACACGGCCACAGGAGGTTACTGCAGCTGGCCAGTAGATGGCAGCCTTGATGGCAAGTCATCTTCCAAGCTGATTCCAGGTTCCCTCATAGAATGGTAGATCGGGATCTGTCTCCTTTGCTTAGAGCAATAACCATGACTACAACACTGACTGCCTTTCAGCTGGTTCATTCTTAAGAAGACTTATATAAATCGTAAAATAAAATAAAAATAAAAATAATTTAGCAATCAGCCGTGCACAAATCTCTTCCCATCCATGTTTAGTAAATATGTGAGGTCTTGAATACAGTCTGGCAGAACCAGAAAGATATTGTTTCTTTTGAACAATGAATAGCATGTTAGGCTGGAAGTTTATTCCACACTTCCTTTATTATCCGCAATAAGATCTACTGAGCTTTTGCTGAGATGCATTTTTATTTAAATAGGGTTGATTGGCTGAGGGCATGAATCAGAAGATCACTGAGCACCTGAAAATGATGTTCCCAACCACTTACTCTTGACCTGCTGTTTTTCTCCATGGAGAACATGCAGTTCCATCTTTGTAGCCTGAAATGTTGCACCCCTGGAGAAACCTCACTGTTTGATTTTGAATAAAATAGTTCTTTGTCAGAACAGAAGCAGGGGTGTCTGTGTTGTTACAATAATCCAAGAATCTAAAATGTATTCTTTTCTTTTTAATACAGTAAACTTATAACTATTGACCAATACAGGTTGCTGTTAATTTGGTTCCAATTCTTCAGCCTAACAGAGGTGATCCTCAATCACCTTTCTTACCTTCTCCCTGTGCTTCCCCATTTGTGAAAATGAGGCAAATATTTCAGTTTATCATTTCACTTGTCTTTTATTCATTGCTTTCCTTGTTTATTTATTTCAGATCTGGAATGTTGCAAACAATAAGCTGACCTTCTTGAACTCGTACAAAATGAAGATGTCTGTCATCATGGGGATCGTACACATGGTCTTTGGGGTGATACTTAGTCTCTTCAACTATATGTAAATGTTAGTGCCTTTACAGGCACAATAAATGTTTATGATGATATTCTAGTGTAGCCTTCCCAACCCAGTCTATGTAGATGTCAGCAGTAGTTGACTTTCCTTAGTCTTCCACATACTAACCTTTATGCTCACCCATCTAATGCTCCTATCCCTCCTTTCAGATTCTTTTAGACTCTTGTTTTTTATAAATACTTTCTGTCTTAATATATTTTTATATCTTCCAGGCTTTTATAATTTTTTATTTTTAGACTCTGATGTATCTTCTATGCTTTTTAACTGACTGTACCCACCCTCCTTATGCTGGTCTAGGACCATAATAAAGATTGATTTGATCTGACTTTCCCTTTCACCAAAATTTACTTTTCAGCAGCAACCAAGCTCATCCCAATTGTTTTGATGAGATTATTATTTCTTTTATGCCATCCAGCATGGATTTGATCACACTGATCTCTTCACAAGGAAGCTAATTTCTTCTGTCATCACCAATCCGAAATAAGTGTTGAGATGTATTAATATGATCTGGCTTTTCTCATTCCTTCCAGATAATTGTGTGACTCGAAGGTAGCAACTAAATATCTTCCAGATTTATTAGACTTCCATGCTCATGATAAATCTAGCTGGATCTGCAATGGCAGTTCATGGGCACTGTAGTTCAAAACCTCTGGCGAGTACCAACTTGCCTTTCTTTGCAGAGTAGGAAACCTTTGTGCCTTCAGATATTGCAGGACCACAACTCCCAGCATTTCTGTCTGCTGCAATACTGTCAGGGGTGATGGGAGATGGAGTCACTTTACTTCTGGAAGACCACAGGTTCACCATAATCTCTTTTCTTCCACAGTGACTGCTGAGCAGTGCTGTTGATACCTGTGGGGCTGGAAGCAAGGGATGAAAGCATGTGTTGTAATGTCACAACACCAACCCCATAATTTATGTAGTAGGCCTGAAGTTGAGGCACAAGTACAAAAGGCTTGGCTTTGTGCTCTTATGTTATGATATATGATTGTTTTTTTTGACATCACACTATGTAATGGATGCCTATAACCACCCCAGTAATGCTTTCTTTCTCCTGGTTCATTTCTGTCCAGTTATTTCAAGCAAACCGCCGACGTTGTCCTGCGGTTCATTCCAGAGATGATCTTCATAGTCTCGCTATTTGGTTACCTGGTCTTCATGATTATTTTCAAGTGGTGCCGATATAATGTGAATAATGCCCAGAGCGCTCCAAGCATCCTCATTCACTTTATCAACATGTTTCTGTTTAGTTACAATGACCCAACAAATCCTCCCCTATATGAGCATCAGGTATGAATGTTTTGTCTTCAACTAAGAATGCTAAATGAAATCCATCACCGTAGTTGGAGTGCTCCTACTTGGTGCACAAGTTGGTTATCACTCAGTCCTATTCATTTCAGCATACCTATTTGAAGGAGGATGATTTTGGATATCATCTCTTTTTTTTCTTAAGGAAGTGTATTTCAGTCAACCACAGAGCAAACTTATTATACATATGGAGAAGAAGATGTTTCTTTTTAAAATGGTAGCTTCTATTCATCCATGTTTTCCCTGAGATACAACCATGTATTGTGTTAGCAGCAAAGACTGAAGTTGATTGATTTAAAATCAAAGTGATTCAGTCAATTTACTTTACAGGGAAAGGTTATCACATGGTGACTTTTCTCTAGACAACAAATTGGCTATATTGTTTTTTGTTAAATTAATCCTAGCATGATAGTTAATATGGCACAATATCTCAGTTTAGAAATATCATAAATAAACTTTGCATTTTGAAGTTCCAAAATATTCAGACTTACGAACGTTCTTCCTTTTTCTGCTTACGCTTCTGTACAGTTGCATTCATTTCTCCCATGTGTGATCCACACATATCAAACGTGTGCTTGCACTGATTGTACAAGGAAGAGATTAGGGCTGTGCACATTACAAAAATGATTAGGGACAGTTCTTTGGAACTGAAGTGAATACAAGCACAGCATTTCTCTGCTTCTAATTAAAGCACTGTGTCCTTTTTTAGGCTCCAGGCAAAAGCTGCTGCTGCTTTAAGAAGTCAACTAATTACAGCTGCTTTAAAGAAAACCGGAGAGGAGCTGTGCTAGCATAAAGTCTAAAGCCCTTCCTTTTCAGAGTCCTAAAATAATTTTCATTTGTAGCCCTAAATAATTATTAGCAATTATTAGCCAATGAGTTTGATGCATTAGCTCAAACATGTGAGCCAGAAGTTGGGAACATATCTCATACTGGCCAAATAATCATTAAAGGAAAATACAGCAGAGTTAAAAAATGGGAAATCTTTCTTGAGTAATTTCCCAGGGTATTTTTCTGCTTCTTAGAATACCTTTTTGGAAGACATAAGCTTGTTTTTTAAAAAGCGTATCTCTGGCCTAAAGTTTGCTTTAAAACATAACAGATCTTCTGTGCAAACATACAGCAAGCAAAACTAGGAACTTCTGGCCAAGGGCAGATTCCACTCATGTCAGCATGAGTGTCTGCAGGGGGAGGGAGACAAAGGAAATCTATGTGATGGCGTCATCACCCAATGCGGCAACTTACATCTTGCATTAGATGTCAGGACACAAGCACATAGTGGCAGCATTTGTGGGACAATGCTATTGTCCACATGCTGTCTTTTTGGTGTTATGGTAGCTTGCTGTAGGCAGCACTGCATTTAAGCATTCAGGATCAAATACAATGCAGATCTATTGCAACAGTGATACAGATACTAATTCAGATGTGGAGCTATCCTGCCTGGGACCACACATCATGCTGGACCTTGGTTTGTTGAATAGCAAACCCAGCACAGGTGTCTTCTTTTGCGTGGCCAAGTAGCTGGAAGGTGACGCGACAATTTTTCAATTGCTGCTATTTCATGGTTATTTTAAACAGTCTGTTTTTAATCTATATTTATTGTTAGCAGCTTAGAGTTATTTCTTAAGATGGGCACCTGTACAAATGTATTAAATAAGTCGAGCAATTATCTGGATTCGTGTAACATGTGAAACCATAAGCCAGACCAATCTAATTTTGGCTTAGTGTGAAGCTGACCAAAATTTGGCCATCTTCATCTAATGCACTGAGCCAGAAATATAAAGTCTGAGTCCACAGATTGTACAAAACCAAAACCAACAAAACACTTTATGGCTTAAAGCATTATGTCCTATGGAAAGCCAAGCTCCGAGAAACATTATTTATCATAAAAACTCAGAGACCCATTATTTAGCCTGCTTTGGAACCAGTAGCAAAATGGCTGGCTAAGCAGGACATGAGAGGGCTACAAGACTGGGCAGCTGGGCATATAGTCCTCCACCTACTTACAGGCTGGATGTTTTGGACCATTCATTAGGCTGGTAAAAAATGAGTCAGAGATTCAGATCTAGCAAGTCTTGAATAAGCAGAAGGTACAAAGTGATTATTCAGAGAACGATATCAAGTAGCCTGTCTGAAAGACATCACTCAGACTGAATGGTAATACTTTAGGGCAGGATATAGAACTAGTGCTGCATCGGGGGGGGGGGGGGGGGGGAAAAACCACCACAAAATTTAAAAAAAAGGGAGAAAAATAGTGGGTTTTTACATCACAAGACAGGAACGCGGTCACACGTTTT